CAGCTCGTACAATGTGGAGCCGTAGCAAGATCGAAGCGAGGAAAACTCGACTGGAAGCAATTCGTCCACAGCTACTATTCGATATTGTTGTCCCCATAGCCGGAAGAGTTAATACCATCCCCGACAAGGCTGCCATTGACAATCAGACACGGACTCTTCTGAACGAGATAAGGGCAGGTGTAAACGCAAGCAACGCCCTGGAGAAGCGACTTCGCGCCTTCCACGAAGAGTATACCGCCGTTCAGGACAAGCGGCATGTTGAAATTTTGTCTGTTCTTCACGAGATACGCGACGTGAAACCGCGAACTGCGACCTTCGCAATGAAAGACAACGATCGAAAGACAAGGGAATTGATCTTAAACGACCTGCTGGCCTCCCTCTACTTCCGTCAAGAACATGATCGGTTTCACGACATCAACTCTGCTTATAAAGGTACTTTCGAGTGGATTTACAGCAGTCCTCCCTCAGGTGCAAGTCAGGCAACATGGGCAGAGTTTGACGACTGGCTGCGACATCGTGCCACAATATACTGGATTTCAGGAAAGGCCGGGTCGGGAAAGTCCACGTTGATGAAACTTTTGGGTACGGATGAGCGAACTCGCGCTGTTCTTCTCAAATGGAGCGCTGGTAGCCGTCTGCTTATCCTTTCATTCTACTTCTGGAGCCCCGGTACGCCGTTACAGAAGTCGGTGGAAGGGCTACTCAGGTCTATCATTGCTCAAGCTCTCAAGGCATGCCCCGAGCTGGCCGAAAAGATGATCCCAGATCGGTTCGAACGCCGCATCAGCGACCGCCATTCTCCAACAATGCAAGAGCTTACACGAGCGTTTGCCTACTTAACAGCTCCAGGCTTGGCAGACGACTCCCAAGTTCCAATAAAGCTGGCCCTCTTTATCGACGGGCTTGATGAGTTTGACGCTGGTTCATTGAGCCATGCGGAGCTAGCTGCAATGTTCACAGCACCTAGTAATTCATCATCCTTCAAAGCTGTTTTATCCAGCCGGCCTGAGAACGCATTTGAAGACGCATTCGTAGACTGTCCCAACTTGAGGCTGCACTTTCTCACTCATAATGATGTTGTCAAATATGTGAACGAAAACCTTCACGCCCACCCTCGGATGATTCAGCTTCAGTCACAGGCCCCAGATGAGGCAGCAAGCCTTGTCGATGAGATTGTGCAAGCCGCTCAGGGAGTATTTCTCTGGGTTAGAGTGGTCGTCAGATCTCTGATGGAGGGTCTTCAGAACCATGACGAGATAAACACGTTAACCGAGAGACTTCACGAACTACCCACCGACCTAGAGGATCTATTCCAAGTTATGCTTCAGCGAGTTCCACACAGATATAAGCGCAGCACGTCGAAGATATTTCAGCTTCTCAGAAGTGTCTCCGAGATCGACTCTGGTGACCTAGTACACATGATTGACACTGAAATGGTGCCTCTGACCGCTTTAGGCTTGAAATTCGCAATGCTCGAATCTAAGGAGGTCATAGAAGCCGAGGTCGGTCAACTCACTGCAGAAAGAGCGTTTCAGGAGATCCGTTCCATGGAAGCACAGTTGAAAACTTGTTGCTCTGGCTTGATTGAGCTTAGAGCACCCTCTCAACCAGTCCGGCGCATTCCCTACCTGACTGCTCTCAAGAATGAAGCAAACGACTGGGAGGATCTACAACTTCATTACATACATCGGTCCGTGAAAGAGTACTTATCGAAAGAAGATGTATGGAATGGAATTCTTGAACGAGCGCAACCTGAGGGGTTTCATGCCAGGGCCGCCTTGCTCCGGAGTTTGGTCATGCGGGCCAAGCAATGTTCCTATGAGGTCAACAAATCGGGTTCTTGGAACGGATTGCCATGGGATATAGTGGCAACCGCCCTCGAGATTTCGCGCACCCTGGAACACGAGCATGGGACGGATCAGCTAGACATGCTAAATGCTTTGGAGGCAGCGCTGACGATAAGATGTGGGCGGGACTGGTGGGATACCTACGAAGAGGACTATGTCAGGCCCATCGCTTGGCACGACAACTTTTTCTCGTTCGCAGTCCGATACGGTCTAAGGCACTACGTCAAGGCCAGACTACGGGTCCACGGGCGGAAATCTATTGCTAAACCAGGTCGGCCACTTCTGGATTATGCCTGTAGGCCAAAACCCTCATATGCAGTGTGGTTGAGAGGTATGGATTTTCGGGTTGTCGAAGCTCTCTTGCAATACGGCGCGGATCCAAACGAGAAATTCAACGGCTTCAGTCCTTGGCAGAATGCTTGGCTCAAGGCATGGTACTGGGAGTCAGTACCTGAACTCTTACGAGTGCTAGAGGTTTTATTAGCATACGGCGCAGACCCAAACGCATACATTGAAGACTTCAAAGGCTTCTCAAAACGTATCACGGAAAGGAGTCGTCTCTCAGTTCTTCTGGTCGCCCTGAAGGTGCGTGCAAGAATGTTGGAAGACGGCACTGGCAACGCCGAAGATAAGGTCATCGACAATGAAACGATGAACAGAATCATAAGACGGTTAAAGAAGAAAGGCGCGAAGGTTCGGGAGTGGAGAGAAGTGGACGGGGTCTTCGTGCGTCAGAATTCTGGCAGCTTGAGTGAACGGGGAAAAGCTCTACAAGCACACGCCCAGTGCGTTTTGCTTTGAAAGATTCATATAAGCGATATGAAGTTGGTCGTTGGGCTAGGTTACTTCTGGGGACATCACTGTCCAAGCTCAATATATCATCCCCTTTGGTTTGACGAAAACGGTTTGCGACTTGAACCCATGCCCGCCGCAATGCCGGCAGCTCGCGAAATTACACCAAAATACCGCGAGCTGTCAATGTGTAGGAAGAAACGATTCTCAAGGTTCTCAATATCAATGAGTATTTTATCTAGATATGGAGTCCTCGGTCCTCGAACTCTGCCTCTGGCATGCGCTGTCTCTCTGTCTGCTCCTATAATCAACCTCTTCCTATATACAGAATGATATTTCTATTTCCAACATAGATGCCCCGAACTTTGAGATCTTCCTATCTACGATGCATCGGATCATGATGATGAACTTTATTAGGACTCTTAGGAAATCAGAAACGAATGACATGACCGACGTTTCATTAACCATGCGCTGATGTCGTGAACCATGAAAGAGCTGGAAGTGAGCACGGCGCGAACTGAAGTCCGTTGTTAATAAACATTAGAAGATTGATTCTACACCCAAATTCACCGATTGCAGTGACGCCGACCTCTAGCATCACCTAACATATCTGATCGTGTCTGAGTACTCTGACTCGTTGACGGGCGGCACTGAGGAGGAATTGCCCGAATGTGCGCGTGTACTGTTGCGAGGATTTCGGAAAACAACGACGGACTAAGCGGATTTCAGCGCTTGTTCAAAATACCCCGGAGCACTCATGCATGTATTTGGTTAGTCGTTGGCCAATTCGCGTTTCAGTTGCGAACTGCTTACGACTACAAAAGGTTACCATAGTTGAGGAAGTTTAGCAGACGTTCGGTTCCCTGACTCAAGTTCAACCTTCGTCCAAACCACTTTTGGTGTTGCCCAAGCTTGTCACATAAGTCATGATCATCTGTAGGCCCAATTGTGCCCGCCGGATATATTGTACAGTCTAAATCGCACTTAGCCGTAAGTCATTCGTTCGGAGAGATAAGACTGGCCCACAATGACTATCTTGCGCATGGTGAAGCGTAGACACTACTGAAAGCATCTTACGATTTAACTCAATCGAGGTACCGGCATCCTCCTTCCAAAGGCACTCCGAAAGGATAAACCTCTCCGTGTGTTAACTCCCGATGGTAACTTCCGACGCAATGAGATGTAGCAACGATGAACAAAGTGTACCGTGACCGCTCTCATTGAGCTTGACAGATAAGCATATAAGAGGAGCGAACTCCTCGCCCAGAAACGAAAACGAGCGACCAGACTGCACAGCTCTGACAATTCTCTGAGAAACAAGATTTCCAACAAAAGCCCGTTTCTAAAGAAGGACAATGTACTCTCGAAATCTCCTCTTCTTCCTACTCGCTGTTCCCTTCACAGCTGCAGTCCCTGTCGCCGAGCAGAAGCACAACGGGAAGCCCATCCAGTACGTTGTCTCTCTCTTCTCTTATTTTATCCTACCCGTTGCGTTTTAACGGAAATGCTTGATCCTCCATCGCTCCTTATTGATCAAGTTGATTTGTGGCTCACATCGTGCCAGCGTGAAAGTTCCCGGCATGGGGACGGGTACCTATTATCCGGGAGACCACGGCCATGACGGTAATGTGGCGGTGTATAATCTTGCCCACTATGGCAATGTAAACGGCCCCAAGAAAGGAGGTAAACCGTGAATAAGACAAACTATTTCCAGACGGAGGGCTACAGTCTATGGGCTAAACATGAAGTTGCCAATCAAGTACAGAAAAGATACAGACAAAAGAGAAAACTTCCATCAAACTGCCTTTTGCTTGAGTCTTTCAAATATCTAAATGCCAACTTCGCCCATCAGCATTTGTCGGCGTTCACTGATCGACTTGCATTTACTGGCCTTGAGAGGTCATCGGGGTGCTTTAACACGCGCGACGTCCTACAATTCGGAACCGTTAGTGAGAAATGCATCCAAGATGATTGAAGGGTCCATCGGCAGAAAATATCTCCCAAACCTAAGGTAATGTATGTATTCTAGACGATTTCAACGCCAAACTTCGACTGGGTTGTGGTTGTCACAGCTGTATATGCTTCTTGGGTTCAAGACGTAGGGCATCACCTGCGGTAAGACAAAGGATGTAATTAAGATACACCTATGATCGATCCATGGATAGCATTTATCTCATCAAGCCCCGTCAAGTAGCTGACATCCATGGATCTCGGTCCTCGGATAGCAAAACGAAAAGTGGACCGGACTCCAATTGACTTTGGCTGAGTAATCGTCACCCGCGCAATATTATGTTGCGAAATATCACGCTTGAGGTAGCAAAAAGGCAAAAGAAACACATCACAATGTTTTGTAAACTTGGATGGACGGGCAGGTGATCGAAACCTGGACCTTCCGCAGATATCGCTGAGGATATGCAAAGCGGACGCTCTACCACTGAGCTACACGCCCATTTCTAAGGTGATGGCTTCGATGGAGCATCGGAACCGGTTGGGAAATCCGCGCCCAATTGGAGATGAAGGTGCTGGCTTTGCGGGCTGCAGCCGAGTCTGAATTCGGCCGGGGAAATGGTTCTGTGGATTCCACGGGTGGATTCGCGACGCAGTGGAATGGAACCCCTCACTTTGTGCTCCCCCACTTGATGCAAGCGCAGAGAATGAGAGCGGAAAGCAATGAGGAGTTGCGGCATTTGCAAGATGCCCTAGACCCAGCGGTACTTAGTGTGTGAATCCTCCGTTGCGCTCAACAAATCACACCGAGCGGGGCTTAGCCCCGTCACTCCCCTTGGTGTAGTTGGTTTATCACGTTCGACTGTAATGGTTTCATTGTCATCGAAAGGTCTCTAGTTCGATTCTGGAAGGGGAGAACCAATTCTTTTGCATTTTTGCTGACTTGGTTCTCAACTTCCTCCGCTGTTGGTCTTCGATGACCATTCAATACTTTTGTCGTCTAACACATGCGACCGGGACGGTCCGATTGACTTCGCTGTGGTCTCAAACTCAATTGCCCCTCATTCTCGCTGGCGATGTGACAGTGGCATCTATCATGTTTCGGCTTTCATTCCTGAAGTTCTGGGCGAAGTATTGCACTCAGACATCTCAGACATCTCTGCCATTTTCATTCCAATCTCTTTGGCCCATCCCGCCGTCAACGTCGACCCCCTCTCTTCTGGCATCCTTTACAGCTTGCCTTGCCTCTTGCTGCTCTTGCTTCTTCCTGCTCATCATTAGCGACATCCTTGGATCCTGTAGTTATCAAGTAAACTCACTTCTCGAGACCACTTGCGTAATCGTCAAACTGCACGTCCTGCCCGGGGACCTTCTGCGCCCCGCTCTTCCGATCGACAGCATCCGCGACCTTGCCTTCCGCCAGAGTCTCCATCTGCTCGGCCTCAACGTTCGGGTTCTCCGGCCCTCGGCTTGCGCCTGTGCTGCTGTATGCCGTGTTGCGCTGCTCCGTCGCATCGACGGGGCCGGAGGAATGCACACCCTGGCCTAGGGAGCTAGGCACCGCATCGTCGGCAGACCGTGACTGCGACTGAGGAAACGGCGTGCGACCGAGGACTGCGTCGCGTGCGCTCGATTCGCTTTGTTGTGCGGCTGCGTTCTCGGCAGGGTTGCGAGATGTTGGGTTCGAGGATGTGGTGTAGGCTTCGGCCTTGGGTGGTTGAGACGGCGCTGAGGATGACATGGTGTGCTTTGATGTGCTAACTGACGTATTCCAGGTATTGCTATTGATGAGCTCTTGGCTTCAGATCTGGGAATTATGTGAAGATGATCGCAGTAGATATCTTCAAAAATGAGTCGCTCAACATATGATGCTGGTGCAGAGTAACTTGGGAAAGCTGCGCTCATATCAGTGACCGATCGATGACGTCGGCGGGCGGGCGATTTCAGATCGGCGCTTGTTCGCATGGGCAGATCTGAATGACAGCGGCCACATCCCCAAGGCCGGGCCCATCATCGTTATCGCGGGCCACAATCATTGTTCTTCTTTATCAGCAGCAATTGTCATGAAATCTCAGCAAGGTGAGTAGATACGGAGCCCAGGGGCTAGCCACACTCCAGCCACCATGTTCTTGAGCCACGACACCTAGGACTCCCAAGCTGCTGTAGCTGCTAGCTGCTCTCGACCCCGCGCACATGGCAGCAATGCACATTCCAATCTTCAACGAGTCGCGTTACTCAGAATTGAGACGAAATATCTCCGCAGCCCGGGCAAATTCCTCTGAAAGTATTGGTCAGCCGTCGCGGGGTCGCTCGCGGCTCGCGATCAGTCCCAAAATTGCGCCACCGGCGGCACCCATGATCCCTGATTCTTGCAAACAACTCGCATCTGATTGCTCGGTATCCCAACATGCCTTTCGAAACAATTGCCTTGCCATTGGTTCCCCGCATCGTGATACTTTGGCCAAGACCAACGATGCGGCGAGATGGAGGGTCGCGGGCCGGGTTGACGGCTCCGACTCGGCGTGGACATGTGCCGCCGAGTTCCGCTGGGCTCGTTTTCGCCCATTCAACACGTTCGATGATAGATGCTGAAGACAGCTATTGGTGCCAAGGTCTGATGTCCAGCCATGACAAAATCTAAGTTGCATATCGCGCGATATCGCGCAAACTCGTCCCAAGTCTGAGCAATGCCGCGGCGGTTATGGTGTGGGAGCGACTGCTATAAGGAACAGAAAGCGCCCGTTCTTCTGCGCGAGGCGGGGCGAGGCGGTTGCAACCTTGATATTGATACAGCCAATTTCAGCTCTCACATTATTGGCAATGGCGCCGGCAGCTACAGCGACAGCTCAGAAGCCCGAAGAGGCTCCCTCGAAGACCATTCCCATCAAGGAGTCTTTGGCTGTTCAGAATCCTCAACTCCAAGAGGATGAGCTTCCAAAGGTTCTCACTGGTCACAAAGAGCCCTTAAAGCTGAGTGGCGCATTGGATAAGTACGAGCACTTCGACAGCACCCCAATCATCGGTCGCGAATTCCCTAGTCTCGACATCAAGGAGCTTCTTAGAGCGCCCAACTCCGACGACCTCATTCGCGATCTCGCCATCACCAGTAGGTACTCCTTCCACCCACAAGCCCTCGTACTGATCCCTACAGTTTCACAACGTGGTGTTGTATTCTTCCGAAAGCAGGACAACGTCGACAACGACCTCCAGAAGGAACTTGTGCAGCGACTCGGAGAGCTTTCGGGCAAGCCGGCGACATCGAAGCTTCACATTCACCCTGTGAACAATGCTGCTCGAGGAAACGACAAGGACGACGAGATCAGCGTCATTTCGTCCGCGAACGCGAAGAAGCTGTCCCTGTACAAGTACCTGAATTACAACAAGAAACAGACCCAGAGGACGCAATGGCACTCCGATATCACCTTTGAACCTGTTCCCAGCGACTATGCGCTGTTGAGGCTTACCCAACTACCAAAGACGGGAGGAGGTATGTCGTCTCTCGCTCTCGCTTGCCGACTGCAGTGACTCACAGATCTGTAGACACCCTCTGGGCATCAGGATACGAGGTGTACGACCGCATCTCTAAACCTCTGCAGAAGTTCCTCGAAACCTTGACGGCAACCTACGCACAGCCGGGATTCAAACAAGCCGCTGATAACAACGGATTCAAGCTGTTCTCGTCCGAGCGCGGCGCCCCTGAGAACGTCGGCGAGATTCTCGAGGCCATCCACCCTGTGATCCGCACAAACCCCGTGACCGGATGGAGGAGCGTCTTTGCCTTTGGCCACCACGTTGAGAAGATCAACGGTCTTTCGGAGGACGAGTCGAAGCACTTTCTGGATTGGTTCGTACAACTCGTCCTGGAGAACCACGATCTCCAAGTCAGACATCGCTGGCAGAATGTCAATGACGTGGCCATCTGGGATAATCGCTCGGTGTACCACGCTGCTACGCCCGACTACCTTGAAGGAGATTATGGAGAGAGGTCTGGCTCAAGGAGTGTTAGTCTTGGAGAGAGGCCATACCTTGACCCGCAAAGTTTGAGCAGGCGAGAGGCTCTCCGTGCTGAGGCTTTTGCCACGGAGACTAGGGCCTGAAGCTTTCACATAGGGTAGTACAATTATCAACAACTACGGTACTAGTAATTGGATGCTTAGACGAATACATCTTTACTAAAGAAGTGCAGTAAGGAAGTGCTAGTGATGATGCTGTAGACAACATCAGTCATGCTCAATAGTTGAAGTTCAAGCACAATGACTAGTCCCCCTTCGTGATTCTGTGATCCAATTGCCCTTGCTCTAGTCCCTACTCCTCTTCAGGTTTCTTGTCTATGAGCGGCCGTAACATCTTGACAAACCCTACCCATATTGCCAATGAGAAAAGCGGAAAGATACCCAAGATGTACAGCGCAAAGCTGTATCCCCTTTCCTGCGCTATCCAGCCTCCCAGCGAATGCGAGATAGATGCACCTGTCTGGCGGGTGATACCGCCGACGACACCAAAAGCCAAGTTAACCCGTCCTGTCCCAGCCATCATAACGGCCAGTAGTCCCGGTATCGCGACACCCTGGATACCTGCACCAACACCGTCGAGAATCTGGACGGGCCAGACGCCCCAGCTCTTGATCACCCGGCCGGCGACGGCGGCACGGATAGGCAAGACAGCATAGGATATTAAGATAGCGAACCAGTAGCCGGAGCGTCCAGCGAGCCACGCCGTCAGGAATGACATGATGATCATCGTACCCTGTGCAATGATGACGGTAAGGCCAGTAGTTCCGGCGGGGTCGCCTTGCCCTGTGGCGACGAGGGCCTGACCGTAAAGAAAGAGGATCGCAGCGTTGCCGAGGTGAAACAGGAATATCGTGATGGCAACGACGCCCAAAGGCTTGTTTTTGAGCAGGATACTGGCTCCCCTGAACCCACTTCTGGAAGGCTTCGATGGGTCCCTGTTCTTGAACCTTTGGGTGAATTTGCTCGAGAACCTTTCCTTCTTGCGTTTCGGACTGGTCATGGGACTCTCGACTGGAGGACTGATGTCCCTGGCTGTTTCTCCATCTGCCTCTGCTCTTCCCCTCTCTTGCATGTCTTCTCGGTTACCAGTATCATCGGGGGAAGGTCCACCTCTTGCGGCCCTGTGGTCAATCGCCCGTTCTGGCAACAGAAACACGACGCCGATCGTGGCTGCGCAAAATGCCATGACGAGGTAAAAAACTGCCGTCAACCCGAAATGTGACCCAAGAAGCCCAGCCAGACCAGCGCTGACCATATTCCCCGCATGGTTAGCCGCCTGGTTTCGCCCGTTCAGAGTGCGGAAGCTATGCTTGCTCTTGTCATCAGAGCAGATGCCCAGAGTGAGAGCGACGAGCAGCGGAACCATGCTCGTGCCGGCGACGGCGGACACGATCTGCGTGAGAAACACCAGAGCCGGATGTGTAGACAGGAGGTTGAGTCCTTGGGATACACCAACAAGGAGTGCGCAGACGGCTACCATCATGCGCTT